CACAAATACCGGAGTTATCGCGTAACATACATACAAAAAAACCTACCTACAGTCGAATTGAGAACCTCTTTTAAAGTCGGTTAAAAATAGTTTCATTTCCTGTGTGTATATCTCGAAAACCCAAAAACTCGATAGGTTTTAAACACCTTCTTTTTTTGCAAGATCTGCTGACTTTTCGTACGATCTGTTGACTCGATCTGTAACTCAGGTAGTAAGAGCTGTATCCACGGTGAGGCATTAGACATTAAATCTAGTGCAGTCAGATCGTAGGAATTTGTCTTAATGTTGTTCGAGTTTTGTATCAATAATAACAAATATAAAATTGTTTATTTATCTCAACACATTAATGAGTAAAAATAAATATAAGCTCTACACAGTGTTTAGCAACAATTGTGGTGTGAGATAAAAAGGTTTGTAGCTCAGCACAATGGCGGAGTGTTTCACAACGCCGGTGATATTCTGCTACAACCTGCCATGTTCATAAAAAGAAGAAGAATTAACGCACATCACAATAACACACATATATGAATATCGTGGTAGTAATACGTCATAATATCGCCCAGGAAACCTAGAAAGAAAATACTGTCGTAAATCAAAATTGTGGCACGGAGAAAACATGACTTGTAAAAAAATCTAAATGAATAGAATAGAATAGAATAGAATAGAATAGAATCGTTTATTTCATGTTATCAATGTCACAATATTACAATTGGAAATACAATGTCAAGGGATAACTATGATCGTCAGTAATAAAATTATTATAATAATAATGAATATAAAATAAAGTAGTATAACTACTGCTTGTCGAATAAAATAAAATTAAAATTGTTTCAAAAGAAACTCATCGACACTGTACAATTCAATATCCAATAAAAGGTTTTTTAGTCGGGTACAAAACGTTGCATCGTTTCTAACACTTTTCAGGTCTGTGGGTAGATGTTCGTAGAATCGGGGACCTATTACCCGCGGATTTCTAGTTGCAAGTTCGGTACGGTGGGCAACGGATTTTAGTGTTCCCGCGTTTCGTAACGCTCGGCCTCCGCCCGTACGTCGCTCATAAGTAGCCAAGTTTTGACGCGCATAAACTATTATATCATAAATATATTGTGAGTACACGGTCATTATATTGTATTTCTTAAAAAGGTTTCTGCAGGTCTGACCCTTTTTTATGCCTACTATTGTTCTTAGTGCACGTTTTTGAAGAATAAATACCCTAATCGACTCAGTTGAATTACCCCACAGTGTGATGCCGTAAGACATCAACGAATGAAAATACGCATAATACGTCTGCCTCAATACCACATTGGAGACAAGAGGACGCAGTTTCCTCAGTGCGTATGCAGCAATGAAACGAATATACATATATATATATATATATACATTGTCGTTTATAATTGGATAATTACGTATTTGTATAAATAAAAATAATCACATATTTGGTTTCAGGTGCGAATATGAATATCATGGCAGTAAAGAGCATGATGTTGCAAAAAAAAAACAATTTAAAAAATGTAAAGTCGAATGTTGCATACAGACTCTAATTAAATTACGTCAGCCAATGTCATGTTCTTTTTTTTTAAAAAAGGTTGCCCTTCGTTTCGGTACGGATCATAATGTGTGCGTCGATATGCAGATATGTGAGGTCGACTGGT